GAACATATTCTGTATGATTTAAATTATTTTAAGTTTGTTGAGGTTTGTTTTATGACCTAAGATACAGTCAATTTTGGCGAATGTACCATATGTGCATGAAACAAATGTGTATTGGATTTTGTTGTATCAAGTGCTCTGCAAATGTGAATTAGATCCTCTTGGTTGATGGTGTTCAGTTCTCCCAGACCTTTCTGATTTGCTGTGAGTGGCATCTTAAGACTCCAACTAGAATTGTGGATTTGTTTCTTTCTTTTTCAGCTTTATCCAATTTCACTTCATGTATTTTGAAGTTCTATTGTTCGGTGCATACACATTTAGGATTGTTCTATCTTTTTGGTGGATTTTCCCCTTTATCACTATGTAATGTCCCCCATTCTTCCTCCTAATTTCCTTTTATCTGAAAATTTTGTCTGATATCAATATAGGCACTTCAGCTTTTTTTTGTTTAATGTTCACATGAAATGTCTTTTTTTGTGAAACAGCACATATTTGGATAATTTTTAAAAATTCACTCTGACAACATCTGTCTTTTAATTTGTGTACCTAGAACCTTTACATTTAAATTATTACTGATGGGTTGGGACTTATAGCTGTCATTTGCTTATTTTCTATTTGTTCCCCTGTTTCTCATGTATATGGTTTTTTCTCTTGTCTCCTTGCGAGTTATGTGAACATTTTTAAGATTTCTATTTTGATATATTTATAATGTTTTTGAGTTTTGTTTAATTTTCTTTTTGGTTGCCTTATATGTAGCTTACATATGATACTATATGTAACTTATAACAGTCTCCTGGAGTTGATATTTTACCACTTCAAGTGAAATATAGAAACTTTACCTACATTTTGGTTTTTACCCTCCCACTTTATATTTTTAAAAAATTTTTAATGTTTATTTATTTTTGAGACACAGAGAGACAGAGTGTGAATAAGGGAGGGGCAGAGAGAGAGGGAGACACAGAATCTGAAACAAGCTCCAGGCTCTGAGCTGTCAGCACAGGACCCGATGCAGGGCTTGAACCCATGAACCGTGAGATCATGACCTGAGACAAAGTCAGTCGCTTAACTGACTGAGCCACCCAGGAGCCCCTACCTTCCCACTTTAAACATATAATTGTCTTCAGTATTTCCTCTGTATGCCCTGAAAACTACTTCAGGTAGTGTTATAACATAAAAATGTGATTAAAGAAACTCACAAAATGAAGGTTAGTCTATTTAGTTACTTCTACTTTTACCCATTTCATCATTCTTCTTTCCTTTCTGAAGGCCCATCTTTTGTTATCATTTTCTTTCTGTTTGGAGAGTTTTCTTTAACTATTGTGTAATAATATGTCTGCTAGCAAGAAGTTCTTTTAGTTTTCCTTCACTTGAGCATGTCTTTATTTCCCCTTAATTTCTGCAGTATAGCTTCACAAATGTAGAATGTGGGCTTGACACATACTCTGTTTCAGCACTTAAAAACTGGTCTACTCCCTACTGGTCTCCATTTCAGATGAGAAATTTGCTGTCATTCTAATTGGGTTTTCTCTGTAGATGATGTATCATTTTTCTTTGGCTGGTTTTAGGATTGTTTTAATCTTTAGTTTTCAAAATTTTAATTAAGATGTGTTTTGGTGTGAAGTTGTTTGGATTTATCCTATTTGGAGTTTACTCAGCTTCCTGAATCTATAAGTTTATGTTTAAGGAAGTTTGCAGCCATTGTCTCTTCACAGTCTTTTCTATCTCCCCTCCTTCTCAGATCTCCAGTGATAGAAACATTGGATCTTTTGTTATTGTCCCAGAGGTCTCTGAGGCTGTATTATTTTTGTCTGTTTTCTCTCTTTTGTTTACATTAAGTAAATTCTATTTATTTGTCTTCAAGTTGACTGGTGCTGTCCTCTGTCATTTCCATTCTACTCTTGAGTCCATTTGGTGAGTTTTTAAAAAGGCTTCAGTTATTGTACTTTCCGTTCTATAATTTCCATTGGGTTCCTTAAAAAATAACAGCTTTATTTAGAATACAAATTCATGGCACCACAAATGTATCCCTTAAAAATGTATAATCCAGTAGTTTTTAGCATACTCAGAATTATGCAACAATCACCACTAGTTGACTTCAGAACATTTTCATCTCCCCCAAGGAAACCCCATACATACCAGCAGACATTTCCATTTTCTCCTCCTTCCAGCCCCTGGCAACCACCAATCCACTCTCTGTCTGTGGATTTGCCTAATTTCATATAAATGGAGTCATACAGGTGGTCTTTTGTGTCTTAAAACTTTCACTGAGTGTGATGTTTTCAGATTGGTGATTTTCACATGTATTCTGGACATATTGGTTGTGATGTTAGGAGACTTTTCCATGTCAGCAAACCCTGTTTGAGTTCAGGGTGTAGGTTCTGGCAATTTGTGGCTTTAGTTCCAATGTCAGTTCTGTTTTTAGGGCCTTGCAAGGCTATCTTGGCTTGTCTCATTCTTCTGGTGCTTCAGGGCTCCCACTCAGTCCTTGCTGGTTCCCAGAAGTTGGCTGTCACTGTGTCACTGTCTGTGTTGGGGAGCCAAAGCCACTGGGCTTGGGTGGAAGGCACAGACACACAGGGCTTTGCTGCTGCTGCAGTTGTGGGCAGATTGGACTACCTGCCTGACTGTGAGGTCTGAGTGAATCTACCCTGTCAGCAGTTATCATTGTGAGAGGAAACCCACAGCCTGGGCCCCTTGCTCATGTGGAATGCTCAGGGCTGCTGAGGTCATTGGCTCTTCTGCTCAAAGGTTGAGAACCCCTGATACGCTCTGGAAAGGCTCTTGCTGTCTCCATTGGTTCCTGGAGGCCACTAGTGGCCCTATTTCTGTATATTTCATTCTGCACTGTAATCTCTGCTGTTCCCCTAGTTGAGCAGCATTGGCTGAGCCCTGGGGGTCACAGGGTCATGAAGGCAGCTCTCTGGGCTTTGGGACTGGGGACCCTTCTCCTCACTCTCAGGGCAGTCCCTGTTGGTAAGTTTCTCCTTCCTTCATCCTTGGAAGCTTCTGGAGTCAGTAGATCTGTAGAGGCTGAGACCCTGGTGGGATTGGTGGGGGAGTCTCCTCCTGTGACCAGCTGTCTTTCTGGCTCTTGCTCAGCCCAGAGGTGGATGGGTTGTCCCGGGGCAGGAGGGCATGTGGGTTCCAAAGTGTATACTCCCAGAGACTCTTGTTCTAACACCGACTGAGCCTAACTCCTGGGTGAACCCAGGATGCGGAGCTGGGTCAGAGTCTGGATGGAATGAGGGGACATGGCTAGTGTCTGGTCCCAGTGACCCTGATGGACAGGAGGTGCTGATAGGTCCTCCAGAGTGGCTGCTCCACCCCCTGCCCCTGGGGAAGTGTCAAAACTGGCTGCACCTGGCATTGAGGGTGACCCCCAGCTCATGCTGGGACAGAGAAGGAGCCACAGTTCCTGTGCCCCTTACCCAGGAGTTGCAGCCTCTGGGTAGAGGGGGCACGGGAATGTGGGCGCTACCAGGTCCAGAAGCCAAGAGGCAGAATCATGGGCAGGAAACCATAGAGAGGGAGTTCTGTCAGATGGAACAGGACATGAGAGAATGATCCTTGTGGGTACTGCATACAGGAGCATGGGGCCTCTGGGTGTGTGTGTATGAGTGACAAAGACCGTGTGACAGCATGCACATGTGTGTGTGTGTCAGAGTGAGCGCGTGCACGCATGTATGTGATAGTGTGAGTATTGGGGGGGGTGAGAGCATGTATGTGTGTGTGATAGTATATTGGAGAGTATGTGAGAGCATGCACATGTGTGAGTGTGTGCATGCATATGTGATGATGTCAAAGTGTGTGAGACTGTGCATGTGAGTGTTGGAGAGGGTGTGAGCGTGTGAGTGTGTGTGATAGTGTGAGTACTGGAGAGTGTGTGAGAGCGTGCATGTGTGTGTGAGTACATGCAATCATATGAGTTGGGCAGGGAGACAGGAGAGGGTAGCAGCATCTGGTGCCCTGGAAGCTGGTGGAAGAACACTCTGCTGCGAAGGCTGATCCAGGGTCCAGCAAGGAGGTGACCTCAGGGCTGGACAGTAGAGGTGGCAGGAATCTGTGGGCAGTGATGCTGTCTGGAGGGAGTGGCGTGGGAAAGCTGGAAGGGGTCCTGTTTTCTGTTAAAGATGCCGATACATGTGCATGTTTATGTCTAGAAAAGAACAGGGCAGAAGGGTGTGAGGAAGCTCGGTGGGAGGATACCACTGATGAATGAAGACCATCAGGGGGCTGTGAGGGGGCAGTGAGAGGGACATTCCTTCCTCTGGACCTATGTGTGTGACTCTGCACGTCCCCTTCTCACGAGTCCGGGATGGGTGCTGCAGGTGGTCCAGGGGGTGGCCCAGGCCTGGACGTAGACTGGAGGTGGTCCGGGGGTGGCCCAGGCCGGGACGTAGACTGGAGGTGGTCCGGGGGTGGCCCAGGCCGGGACGTAGAATGTTTCATGGGTTTCATGGCTGCTGTTGTGTTTCTTCTGCAGAGTCCTGGATGGGATTGTGTGGACCAAGGGGCTATGATGGGGAGAGGCTGTGTAGAGAAAACCAGGGTGCAGAGACCTAGAAGCGGGGTGGTTAGGGAAACGCATCCATGTCCTGGTGGGGTAGTCCAGTTGGTTCAAGTCCAGGGAGCTGCTGAGACCCTGAGACCAGACCTGGGAACTGGAAGGGTAGGTGGCCAGCCAGGCGGGCGGGGCAGCAGTAGGGCAGGAAACAGAGAGCCGGGGCCCCAGTGCCTATACCGCACTGAGGAAATAATGACTAGGAGGTGGGTTGGGGTGGCTGGGCACCCCACTTCCAGGCAGCGGAACATAAGGGCACTTCCTTGCCAAGAGGGTGGGGTCACCCACGTCGTGGGGGCCTCAGAGGGCTTGGGATGGAGGCAGACACTGTGGTCCCAGTGGGAGGGAAGGGGGTCTGTGGAGGTGAGGGTGCAGGGCTGTGTGAGGGCAGTGTGCATGTTTCTGTGTGACCTCACCCCATCACCTTTCTGGACTGCGAGTAATGGGGGGTAAGGGGACCTGGCTTTGTACTGAGGCCTTGGAAGGGGCCCAGGCAAACTTGGGAGTCTTCATACCTCCCAAGTGGCACTGGTTCGCCCTCCACCCACAATCTGGTTCTAGTCCAAGGCTGACCTGTTCTTCTGTAGGAGGGCCAGGCGGCCTGAGGCTGGCGTACAGACACAGTCCCTGCGATGGAGTGGTGCTCGTCCTACGCAGTGGGCAGTGGGGACACGTGTGCAACCACGAGTGGACGTTGGCAGAAGCATCCGTGGTCTGCAGGCAGCTGGGCTGTGGACATGCTGTGGGGGCCCCCAAGTATGTCCCACTGCCGGGGGAGATGGTGCAGCCCTGGCTCCACAATGTGTCCTGCAGGGGTGATGAGCCCTCCCTCTGGGAGTGCAGCCTCGGGGCTTGGACACAGACCAAGTGTCCCCATGAGTGGGTGGTGGTCGCTCTGTGTGCGAGTAAGTCTGAGCAGGAGGGGGGTTGGAGAGGAGGAGGAGGGGGAGTGTGGGGGAGGGGGACGGGGAGGGCCTGGGGGAGGGTGGAGAGAGGGTCTAGGGGAGGAGGAGGGCCTGGGGGAGGGGGAGGAAGAGGAGGAGGAGGAGGGAGGGTCTGGGGGGGGGGAGGGTCTGGTGGCTCTGTGCTGGGGGCTCCTCCCAGGGCACCGGCCCATCCCGACCTGTTATGGTTCCAGTCTCTCATGACGCCTTCACTCCTGTAAGGGGTCCTTAGTCTTTCGTTCAACAGATGTTTATTTGCAAGGCTCTATTCTAGGTGCTTGTCCATGCAGCTGCGACCAAACCAGACAAAAATCCTGCTGCATGGAGCCTATACTCTCTCGGGAGAAACACAGTAAACAAATAAACAAGTAAAACAGCAATGCAGGAAGGTGGAGAAGCAGAAAAGAGACAGAAGACCTTGTCTTCTAGATACCCGAGGGCCTGACACCTGCCCCCCTGCCCCCGCCCCCTCGCTGTAGGTGTTTAACATTAGGTATCTAAACATGATTTCAAAAATGACGAAAAGGCAAATGCTTTCCCTTTGAAGTCTATCTTGAGGGTGTTCTGCTGTCTCTGGACACTTAATGTGACGGGGAGCTTGTGCGGCCCCCTCACAGCGTCCTGTCTCAGAAGCTGACCCACAACATGGTTTATTGGCCCAGGATCAAGACAATGACAGCAGAATGTTAAACCAGGCATAGGTCCCTCCGGGTGAGGGGTCCTCTGTGACTGCCCACTCAGAAAGGCCCTCCCTCAGAAAGGCCCCCTTTCAATGCAGTGATGACCCTCTTGGAGGAGTAAGGTCGGTCTCAAGCTGTAACCCAGGCCCAGGGCGGAGGCCCTGGTAGGGGCTGCCTTGCCCAGAATGAAACGTCTTGTCGTCGGGGCAGGCCATAGGCTGCAAGTGACCGCAGGACCTGTGGAGTCCTCACCTTCTGTAACGTGGGCCTATACTTCTCAGATGGCACTTTTCGGGAGATCCGACTAGTAAAGGGTCGCAGCCCTTGCTCTGGAGTCCCCGAGATCAGGAATGTGAATGGGGTGGATCGCCTCTGTGGCCTGCATGAGGAGGAGGCCACGGTGTTCTGCCGGGAGCTGGGGTGTGGGCCTGCGCTTCAGGCTCCCCGCCAGGATGCGGGCGACGGCGGGAAGTACATGACATGCCAGGGCACCGAGCCGACCATCCGAAACTGCAGACTCAACAACCGCCTGCGCAAGGGCTGTGACTTCCAGCACGATGCCGAGGTGGTCTGCTCAGGTGAGGCCCATCGTGCAGCCAGGCTCCGGGGGACTGATGGGTCCCGTGCTAGGTGCAGACCTTGGGGGAACGCTCCGCCCTCCCAGTGCATTCCCCTCTTGATACCTGGGCAGCTTGCTGCTTCAGAGGGCCCAAGAGCTGGCTGGGCAGGCGAGGGAAGGCAGGGAGGAAGGCACTGTGCTGAGAAAATCCGGTGCTCTCTAGCTCAGGGTTGCTGCTGCCAGAGGCCTAGAGTGGGGAGCACAGGAAATACTCTGGGACAGCTCACTGGTGGGTGCCCTAGCGTGCTCAGGCCTGCATGGACGCCCCAGCAGAGGTGTGCTGGCTCTGAAACCCAGGCCTGGTTGGGGGAGGGGGTCCTGTCTGTCCTGAGGCATCTGTGCTGTCAGAGCTGCAATTATCGTGTGTCCAACATGAGTCAGGGGGGCTGGTGCTTGCCCCCTCCCAGTCCTGTCTCAATGAACAAGTGAATTGGCCCTCAGATCCTGGCCATGTCCTGGGAATTAGGGGAGGCTAAAGTGAGGCGGGTGGGTCAGCCTCCTTGGTGCCCCCAGAAAGGCAGCATTCTGTGGCCAGAGAAGTGATTTGACCTCGCCTCCAAGACTATATATACTTTGATGCCACTACCTTGGGCAGGCAGAGGCTATGTTACACATGTGGGCCCTGTAGGAGGTGACCCTGACCTCTGACCTGTGACCAGGGACCCCTTCTCTGTTCTGGGTGCAGGATGTATGGGTCTCTAGCTATCAGTTTCTGCCCAGGATTTGCAGACCCACCACCTGGTCACAGATGGTCTACCCTGGCCGGAGCCTCCTGTGGTCCAGCGAGGTGGCTGAGCTGTTCATCTGAGAACACTTATTCCTAACCGAGAGTTCCTCCCCCAGGACACGTGGAAGCCCGGCTGGAGGGTGGTGAGCACCCCTGTGCTGGGCGGCTGGAAGTGAGGCGCGGCCTGACCTGGGGCACTGTCTGTGACGCTAACATGGACCAGGCGACGGCCCACGTGGTGTGCCGGGAGCTGCAGTGTGGTTCGGCTGTGTCCGCTCCTGGGGGCGCCCGCTTTGGCCAGGGCTCTGGGCTCGTGTGGACAGAGGCCTTCCGCTGTGCTGGCAATGAGTCTCTGCTGTTCCACTGTCCTCGGGGGCCCGGGCGCCAGTGTGGGCACCGCCAGGATGCCGGGCTCAGGTGCTCAGGTGAGGCTTGGGAGGGTGGGATCTGAGGCTCAGCCTTGCCTCCTTCCCTGCCCGCCTCCCTCAGTGACTCCACCCGAGGGGCTCTAAGCTAGGCTCATGAAGGCCCCTCGGGCCAGTTGGGGTGTGCGTGTGCTTCGCTAGGAAGTGTTGCTTCTGGGAGGAGGGGACTGGCTTCCCTGGCAAGGCTGCAGCACAGACTGTGGGCCCAGCTGCGGAGAGCTATGATCTGGACGCTGGGGCTGAGGTGGGTAGGGGGCTGGTGACGCAAGGGCCTGGCTCTGTGGCCACCACGCTGGGTGTAAAGGGAAGACAGTGCCAAGAGCTGGGTCTGCAGGTGAGGGAGGACTGACTCCTATCTGCTCCTCAGAGTTCCGGCTGGTCAACGGCAGCGGCAGCTGTGAGGGGCGCGTGGAGCTCCTGGTGCAGGGGGCATGGGCACCCCTCTGTGCTGCCCACTGGGACCTGACGGAGGCCACCGTCCTCTGCCACCAGCTCAACTGTGGCAGCGCGGTGGCCACACCCCGCGGAGGCCACTTTGGGGTCGGGGACGCTCCCATCTGGCCTGATGTGTTTCACTGTGTGGGAACAGAGCCCTATTTATGGAATTGTCCAGTAAGCACCCTGGGGGCCCGGGCCTGTGCCCCCGGAAACGCAGCCGCCGCTGTCTGCTCAGGTGGGTCAGCTGGAGGCTGGGAATGGGAGGGACCCTGCCGGGAGGGGTGGTCCTCTCCCCTCTGCAGGAGGAGGGCCCCTCCCCCGACACCCTGCCTCTGCCTCCCCAGGTCTCCCCCATGCCCTGCGGCTGCGGGATGGACAGAGCCGCTGCGATGGCCGCGTGGAGGTCTCCCTGAACGGGGCGTGGGGCCGCGTCCTGGACGACGCGTGGGACCTGCGTGGCGCCGGCGTGGTGTGCAGGCAGCTGGGGTGCGGACGCGCCCACCGGGCCTACGACGCCCCGGCGCCCGGGCGCGAGGCCGGCGCGGTGGGGCTGAGCCGCGTGCGCTGCCTGGGCTCTGAGCCCCGCCTGACCCAGTGCAACGTGTCCACGTTCCCCCTGGGACCCGCGGGGGGCTGGCGCGACGCGGGCGTCGTGTGCTCGGGTGAGTGGGCGCCGCCCGCCCGCCCGCCCGCCCGCCTCTCGGCCGGGGCCCCGCCGCGCTGACGCCGCGTCTCCGCAGGGAGCCGGCGGGTGCGGCTGGCCGCGGGGCCACACCGCTGCGCGGGGCGCGTGGAGCTGCTGCACCTGGGCGCGTGGGGCACCGTGTGCGACGACGGCTGGGACCTGCGGGACGCGCACGTGGTCTGCCGGCAGCTGGGCTGCGGCCGCGCCCTCCGCGCCCTGGGCGCCGCGCCCTTCGGTGCCGGGGCGGGGCGCATCTGGGCGGCCGAGCTGGGCTGCCGGGGCCACGAGCCGGCGCTGTGGCGGTGCCCGTCGGGGGCCCGGGGCCGGCAGGACTGCGGGCACAAGGAGGACGCCGGCGTCGTCTGCTCAGGTCGGTGCGGGTTTAGGGCGTCCTAGGGCGGCTGCGGTCGCGCGGCCGCGCCGTTTTGGTGCCTCCGGGCTGGGGGCTCCGTCACTCCGTCTCCGGGTGCCTTTGCGGGGCGGGGGCGGGGGCGGGACGCAGCCGGGTCAGCCCCGGGGCTGCCTTCCGGCCGCACCACCCGCCGCCGGGGTCTCCCCGCGCTGCTCGCGGGCTCCTCCTTCTCAGCCTCCTGAACTGCGCTCGCGGAGCCGCGGAAAAGACGGCGCGTGCAAGCCGTTTGCTTCTTCGCCTGCGCCTTTCTGGGGCCCCTTGGGTTGGAGCGGCGGAGTGCGGCCCCTGGGGAGCCGGCGGGGGAGCGCGGCAGGGCTGCCGCCGCGGGTCTTCGGGCTCCCCCCCCCCCCCCCCCCCGGCGCAGGGTGGGGTGAGCCTTCCGGTGCGGTTTCTCCTCATGATTTCAGTCGTTTCCCTCACCTGTGACTCAGGCGACTGCATCTATTTCAATCGTCCTGTTTCTTTTCTTTTCTTTCTTTACAAAAATATTTTATCATGGAAGATTTCAAACATGTACAAAAGTGGGAGCTAAGAAGTTACAGGAAGCCCGGTGGCCCATCAGCCACAGTTATCAGTACACGGCCGACTTGTTTTCATCTGTTGTTGTTTTTTAAGAGTTTATTGTCCGATTGGTTTCCATATAGCACGCAGTGCTCATCCCCACACGTGCCCCCTCCACGCCCATCTGCGCTGTCCTGTTTCTTTTAAAGTAACACTGGGGCTCCTCATTTTGGATCTTCCCCATCCTTTTTATTCACTATTTTTGGGGGGAGCGCTGCTCTTTCTCATGCATTCTGGAAGAGTGTTTCCAGGCACTGTGTACGTGACTGATTGGCTTTTGTGTCGGAGATGCATTCAGACTGCTCGCGGCGCTGGCCGTGCTTCTGTCCCACGGGCTCCCTCAGGCCGCTGCTCCCTTGCTGGCTGATAGGTTCTGCTGCTGGGGACTGGCTCTTGGCAGGGGCCGGGGGGCACTCTGTTTCTGTCACAATTCAACCTGGAAGCAGTGTTCTCAAATCGAGAGCAGAAGCAGGCAAGGTGCATGCAAAGCCCAGACTTGGAAGGGGCATGGGTCATTCGTACCCCATTTGGTCAGTTGGCTGAAGTCCCAGGGCTAGCCCGGATTCAGGGGGGTGGGAAACAGACTCCTTTCTAGGGGCGTGGGTACCGGCAGGAGACCTCTGTGGCCATGTTGGTGATCTATCATGGATGCATTGAGCGTTTTTTTAAAAACTTATTTAGTTTTTATTATTTTTAAAAGTGTTTTTATTTATTTCTGAGAGAGAGACAGCGTGAGCAGAGGAGGGTCAGAGAGAGAGGGAGACACAGTATCCAAAGCAGCTCCAGGCTCTGAGCTGTCAGCAGAGAGCCCGATGAGGGGCTTGAACCCATGAACTGCGAGATCATGACCTGAGCCAAAGTTGTCCGCTTAACCAACTGAGCCACCCAGGCGCCCCTAAACTTACTTAAATTTTAATTTGTTCTGACTCTGTCACATGCAATCCACATCTTACTCTCTTCGTTTATCCTGCTGAGGTATTTTTGATGTATCAAGACATGTGTAACATGAGTTTAGAGGGCTAATACTTTATTATTGGTGATATTATAGTCTACTGGCTACATCGCACTGTTGTGGGGATTGCCCTGCCTGAAGGCTTGGGCCCTGATCAGCCGGGGCTGATGCCGTCTCCAAACATGGAGCTCTGCGCACCCCCTCCTCCCCCTCCGCCTCCTCCCCCTCCTCCTACCCCTCTTCCCCCTCCTCCCCCTCCTCCTCCTTCTTTTAACGTTTTATCATCACTGCTAAATTGATCATCTTGTGCAAAAAAGATTATTCTGTGTTTTGAATGATTTCCAAGGGTGGATTTCTGGACAAACAGGTGACACCTGCTAAGATGTTACAGCTGCAGTTAAATCTGGTCACCTGAGGTTAACTGCTACCTGCATCCTCAGGGTGGGAGGTTGCCATGGGAATGCATGACTGGTTTAAGGTTCTTGCTAAGGGCTCGCTGGCTTAGATGCCCCTAGAGCAGCATTGATCTTGGTGCTGGGACCCTCTCATTTTGGAGTCCTTCTTTGGGGATTTCTCCTGGCCCAACTGCTCTTGTCTTCCAGGGTCAGTGGCCCTGAGGCTGCGAGGTGGCAGCCACCACTGTGCTGGGTGGCTGGATGTGTTCTACAATGGGACGTGGGGTGCCGTGTGCAGTAATGCCCTGAAGGACATCTCCTTGTCCATCATCTGCAAGCAGCTGGGCTGCGGGGATCAGGGCTGGCTCGAGAACAGGCCTGGTCACACTGGCTCTGGCACCTCCTGGGTGGACAACATCGAGTGTCGCAGACTGAGAAACTCCACGCTGTGGCAGTGCCCCTCGGCACCATGGCACCCACGCTCCTGTGCCCGTGGAGAGGAGGCCTGGATCACCTGTGCAGGTGGGTCTCTGGCGGTTTCTGACAAGTCGTCTGCAGGGCTGCCGTTGATCCATGACTCGGGGCCTGGGGGTCACTCAGGCTCTACACGCTTCATTCTGAGGCTTTCAGGGTATTTACACAGGGATGGTCGCTGTTTAATCCAACAGGATTGTCGGAGAAAATAACACAGGATTTGGGGGAGACCCTCAACTGCTCATCCACCCACAGCTGCCCAGGTACACTTCTGTCCGTCTCCCTGTCCACTCTTTATCTCTGTCCTGCCCTGCAGTGACCACAGCCCCCTCTTTCAGGGGAGGGAATGCTGCGTGTGCGTGGAGGCCAGGACAGCTGCTCGGGCCGCGTGGAGCTCTGGCACGCTGGCTCCTGGGGCACCGTGTGTGACGATTCCTGGGACCTGGCAGATGCAGAGGTTGTGTGCCGCCAGCTGGGCTGTGGCCCGGCTCTGGGTGCCCTTGTCGGGGCTGCCTTTGGCCCAGGCTCAGGGCCCGTGTGGCTGGACGAGGTGGGGTGCCGGGGCAGCGAGGCGTCTCTGTGGAGCTGCCCCGCAGAGCCGTGGGGACTCGGAGACTGTGGGCACAAGGAGGACGCAGGCGTGCTCTGCTCCCGTGAGTGGGGAGGGGAGGGGGCACGGGTGGCTGGGAGGGTTTGCTGGGGGCTGAGGAGGGGTCTTCCCCTCAGAACATGGTCCTGAGGCTGTCCCTGTGCTGGGTCCCTCTGGCTACCTCTGTGGCTATCCTGTGACCTGCTGGGCTCAGGCTGAGTGGGGCTGGGACACTTCCCTGAAGGTCTGGGTGAGAGTCTGGGCTGCCTCCCATTTCTCCTGCAGGTGACAGGGGGACCACAGCCCCGCTGCCAGCACTGGCATGGGCGTCAGGTAGGTGTGCCCTCTCTCAGGGCTCAGGTCACACCCTGTTGTCTGGCCCTGACCCAGAAGGGCCCTGCAGTGGGCTCTGCACAGAGGAGTGCCCTGCAGTCTCCGGTGGGTGCCAGGGCCCCAGTCAGCCCCTCTTTAGGCTGGTCGGGCCAGGGCCAGGAGGATCAGGACCACCCTCTCCGTCCTCCGGTGCCAGCCTGGGCAGAGAGCCGTGGGGAGGGACAGCAGGCCCAGGTCCCGCCCAGCCACTTCTCTGGGGTCTTTCTCTTACGGATTGTGGGTGTTTGAGCAGAGAACACTGTGGCTTGCCCCCTCCCTCCTGACCCCTGGCTCTGTGACCTCAGGCCCGTGGGCCTCTCTGGGGAGAGCACCAGGGCCATCTCCTTTGGGTGCCCTCCCCTTCCTGAGAGGTTCAGGTGGCCCAGGCCTAAGGTCACAATACCCCAGGCAGCACAGACACACAAGGGAGACCCCACCTCTCACTGTCCCCACAGGCTCCCCCCTGACCCCCCCACCTGCCCTCAAGGCTGGGAACCTGCCCATGACCTTCTGCCTTGTCCTGGGGACCCTCCTGGTCATCGTCTCCCTGGTCCTGGGGGTGCAGTGGTTCCGTGGCAGAAGAGTCCGCCAGGGTAGGTGGGTGTGGCTGGGGAGGGCAACGCAGGGCTGAAGGGAGGGAGGCTGGGGGCGTACTTGCAGCCCCCACCCCACACAGGCCCTTTCTGCCGGGTCCCACCTGGATCCCCGCTGCATGGCGACTTCTCTGTGACACTCTTGGACTCAGGGGTAGGCGGGGTCAGGGAACCCTGAGCCCTGCTCTGCTTCGGAGGGTGCCTTGGTATGAGGGCAGGACCCAAGGGTGTCCTGATTCCTCATGTCGTCTGTGTCGTGCAGCCAACCGCCCTGACTGCCCGGGATGTGGCTCTGGGTGGGCATTCGTGAGAGGCCCCGCAGGGCCGGCAGCGGGTGGGCCCAGACTGAGAGAGTGTCTGTCCTAGAAGCTGTGGTATGGCCTCTGCAGGTTCCAGAATGTCGGGGAGTCTGCCCTCGGAAGGTGTTTATGAGGACATCGGAGTTGTCCCCATGGGGGAGAAAGAAGAGGGGCCCAGAGTGTCCCAGAACCTGGCCCTGGAGGAGGAGTACGATGATGCTGGGGAGCCAGAACAGGGCCCTGAGGAGGAGCGAGCAGAGGACGAGGAGGAGGCGCCCCTGAACCCCGCCGGTGCGCACCTCTGCGCCTTGCTGCCCACGCTTCTGCTCCTGCTGCACTCCTATGCCCAGGCCTCTGCTCTGGCCAGTGCCTACATTTAAAGACCCTGAGAGCCACCTCTCCATGTGTCCGTGACCCTCACCCCTGTCACAGGCTTGGACGTTGGGGGATTCAGCTGTCCCTTCAAAGTTGCTCCTTAGACTAGAATCTTCTTGTGGGTGGATGAGGAGTTCAGGGAGGGTCCTGGAGTTTTCTTTAGGTTTCTTTCTGTGGCTGCCCACAGGCTTTTTCTAGTCTTGGTTGGCTGCAGGGGGCCCAAGCAGAAAGGGTGGGAGGGACACGGCGTGATCCCGGCTCACGCTGTCCTGTTCCTGTCTAACATTCTGGCTTCAAGGTGCAGTGACACAGTAGGGCCCAGAGGTCGGGGGGCTCTGAGGGATTTCCAGGGGGCCCATGCGCATCTCTCTCCTTCAACACAGGTGGGGTTCCTTGCAGCCTAGGCCCCAAAGCTCATGCTGAGACAGAAGACGCGGCATGCCCTAGGATGTGATGACAGTGCGTCCACCATGCGGACACCAGCGAGACCAGAGTGGGGAAAGACCTCAGGCCCCAGGAGTCTTTCATTATCCTCATTTCTAAGAGAGATGTCATTAAACTCCCTTTGAGGTCCCTCATTCATCCATTAACTCATCTCAGAAACATTCCTCAGGCCCCATCACAGCCTGGGTTCTCTTCCCTCCCTTTCTTCACCCTGGTCTGATGCCGGCCGAGTGTGTCCAACTTCTTCACTTCTCCCGCAGGCACTGGGGTGAGGTCCCCACTGAAGCAGCTCCTTGCCGCCCCTCTCACACCTGCAGAGGTGTTCTGTGTTCCGTTGTGCCAGAGTGCCCTGATTCAAGGAGGGACCCAGCCCTTTCCAAACACACCCACCCTACCCCACCCCTCACATTTTCCTCCCTGACCACACCTTCGACACCCCACCTCTCACACCTTCCTCTGACCACACCCCTGACCACACCCTCCCCACCCTCACCCTCACATCTTTCTTCCTGACGGAATCTTCCCCACTCAATCATTTCTGAACACACTCACCACAACCAAACCCTGACCATACCGTCCCTGACCCTCCCCTCTCACCCCACTCTCACACAGGATAACCCTGGGGCCTGGGGGTTGGGGGAAGGTGTGCAGCAGTAGGGCGTCCCTGGGGTCAGGAGGGAGAGAAATGAGCAGGAAGGCAGTGGGGTAGGGGTCTGAGCACAGGACAGGAAACCTGAAATGTATGGGGAGCAGAGTAAGGATGTCAGCTGAGCAGTGGGAGCAGGTTGGGACTTAGAAGAAGGATGCAGGGCTCCTCCATCTATGTATGCTGCCCTTCCCCAATGCAGAGTGCTCCCTGCCTTTTCCCGGTGCAGAGTGCTCCCTGCCCTGCCCCAGTGCAGAGTGCTTCCTGTCCCTGCCCCCATGCAGAGTGCTCCCTGCCCTTCCCTAGTGTAGGGTGCTCCCTGTCCCTGCCCCAGTGCAGAGTGCTCCCTGCCCCAGCACAGGGTGCTCCCTGCCCTTCCCTAGTGCTGTGCCTGTTTTTGTAGTTTTTCTGGTAGGAAACTAACGAGTTGCTGATCTGTGTGCTGCTTTTAAGGTTACTTCTAAGTGCCTTTGGGGTTGCCTAGGGTGGTCTTACTCTGCAGCTAAATTGGCCTCACATCTGACCTCCAGCCCTTCTGTGTCCTCCATGGAGTATGTGAAATCTCTATGAATCCTGAGGATGGACAAACACATGTCACAGAGGAGGAACAATGAGTGCAAATTACATCAATGATGAAATAAAATTTCACTTTCAGACTGGGAAATTTTCGTGAAGAGAAGGGGAAATTAATGCATTTGTACATTGTTTGCATTTTGTGAACAAATAAACAAAATTTGTCAGTTTTCATAAATATCCTTTCCAAGATTCATCACCCTTCCCAGACTGTGTTCTGCATAAATACCCAGTACTCAAATATTTATAAAAATATCCAGTGTAGCATTTTTATAACAGAAAAATGAAGTAATCAAAATATCCATCAATAAATATCTGGCTAGGGGCACCAGGGTGGCTCAGTCAGTTAAACCTCTGACTCTTGGTTATGGTTCAGGTCATGATCTCACAGTTTGTGAGATCGAGCCCCACGTTGGGCTCTGTGCTGACAACTTAGAACCTGCTTAGAATTCTCTCTTTCTGCCCCTCCCCTGTTGATTTTCTCTCTCTTCTCTCTCTCTTTCTCAAAATAAATAAACATTAGGAAAATTGGTTGATGAATTCTAAGTGGCTAAAGTAGCCTGGAGGGTCCAATTGAAACCATTTCGATGTGGCTGACTCACAAGCTGCTAGTGCTCTGTAACATTCTGTAGCCAATTCATTTATTTTTTGGAGTCAGGCAAGGTGAGAACGATAGAAATGCAGATGGCTGGATGGTGGTTGGAAACATTCCTGTGATTAATATTTTGATAGAATTTAGAAGAAACCTTTTCCCTGTAGTGTTATTTTCAGAGCTTAAGGCCTGTGTTGCCATCCTTAAGCAGTGTGTGTGGTCCTCTAAGCTGACCCACAGCTTAGCCATGCTGCCAACGGTACATCAGGACCTGGTCACAGAGGGACGTGTGTGCTGTGTGGTGTCCCTCCCACAGCAGTGAAACGTGACCTGCATGGAGCTTCTGGGAGCTGCCTGTGGCTGGGCCGTGCGCTGGAGAGATGACCCATGGCCTTCAGGACATCGAGAGGAAACGGGGTGTTCTGGGCGACATGATACAGTTGCAAACCAGCTGAGCTGCTTACACTTACTAAACAGGGTACCTCTAAAACCTTAGATGATGGTACTGCATCTTCTCTTTAAACAAACAGTATATGAGTATTTCTGTTGAGTGAAAATGAAACATTATCTGCTAAATGGAGGCATTTAGTTGAGGGAGTCCTCTGCTTTCTCCTGGTGGAGGGAGAATATCAAATCCCATGATGGGTACAGGAAAGTCTTGCTTTTACCCTGGATCAAGAGTACTCACACCTTGGTTTACACAAGCATCACCTTGATTCATTAGGTTTTAATGAGCATTCCAAGTGATTCCTTTTTTAATTTTACTATTTTTAATTGTGAAATTTCAAATGTATACATATAACAAGATGTTGACATCTTGCACATTTACTTTATATCTCTGCATAAGAAATAAAACATCACAGAACAACTCAGGTCCCATTTAATTTTCTTCCCTCCGTGCACCCCCAGATGTGACTGCTATTCTGAAGATTGTGAACGTCATTTCATATGTTTTTGTATGCAATTATTTTAGTAAACAATATGATGTATTATTTCAATTTTTAAAATAAATACAGCAATGCTTGCCACCTGCATGCGGTGGGTCACTTTCTACTTGCTTTCCTTACTTGCCATTATGCTTCTGCTGTACGTCCTCATGGGTAAGGCACACCCAACGTGACGGGCGTGATGTTTGTCCACATTAATATGTATGGATTTGGGATGAGACATGATGTGTGATGAATCCATGGCTTGCTTATTCATGTTCTCATGGACGGGCGGTGAGGTAGTTTCCACTTTTTGCTCCTGCACAAAGTGATGGAATAAACAATTGTGATCCTGTGTTGTATACACAAGAGTGAAATTGTTGTATTGTAAATGTGTGCATCTTCACCTTGAATCAATGTGCAAAGTAAGATGGGATGGTGGATTATGCGTCATTTATTTATCACCTGTTATGTTTCACACCCTATTTTCTTGCTTAGGATACAATGGTGAGCAAAAACTACATAGCACCTGTTTTAATGGAACCCAGTATGATATTTACTAATTAAATAATCAACTGTGTGATTAGCTCTGTGATTAGGGAAATAAGGAGGCACTAGGAGGGGAGACAGTGGTGGGACCTGACTCAGACTGGCTAGGGAGAAATTACTTAGGATTTAACATGCAACTGGGATGTGAAAAGAGCATGGCCAATCAGGTAAATAGCATCCCATGCAGAAAGAACAGCGTGTACACAAGACTCAAAGAGGGGTGTTGTCTTAGTTCATGAGGTTCCCACCCGCGCCCCCCCCCCCCCCGCCGGACCATGGATTCCAGAGCAATCAGTAGAAGGAAAGGGAGATGACATAGGGTTCTCCAGGTAAACAGAACTGATGGGAGATATACATGCTTTTGGGCTTGTGATGATTTATACACACAAACGTATATAATATGCACATATACACACATATGCATAACATATATATAACTAATATATGTATAATTACATGAATGATAGTATACAATATGCTGTGCATACACATACATATGGAGGCTTGTTATTGGATTGGCTCATGCAGTTATGGAAGCCTCGCTACCAGCCATCTGCGAGCTGGGGCCCAGAAGAACTGATGGAACAGTACAGTCCAAGTCTGAAGGCCTGTATAGCGGAGGGCAATGAGTAGGTACTATTCTGGCCCTCACTGGGCTCCTGATGCCTATCCCCACTGGCGAGGACAATCTTCTTCTCCAGTTTGTCCATTCATATGCTCATCTCTTCCAGAGAGACCCTCACAAACACACCCAGAAATAATGTTCGACCAGCTGTCTTGTGTCCTGGGGCGCCCAGTCAGGTTGGCACACAAAAATCAACCATTGTAGGAGAGATGTCCTTGGCAATTCAGGACCAAGACCCACATGGCAAAGCCGAACTCTGGGTAGCTTTACAGGGGCACTTTCAATGGAACTGAGAAAGTTCCCACCTACTGAAGGTCAATAAGATATAGGTAGAGACTCTGGGTTGGTGCGCAGTTCCAGGGATCTCAGAAGGAACCAACACATCTGTTGTGTGTTAATGCGTGTCATATTCTGGGAACTCCAAACTTTAGTAACAGGTGGCCAAAAGCCACATCTCACTAGGATGCCATGGAGAATCCACAGAGGAATATTTTCTCAACAAAGCCGTATTGAAGGTGCAATGGCAACTCGCATGGAAAGAGGGTATTTATAACAGGTGGGACACGTCTCATAAGGGTCAGTGGTCAGAAAGCAACAAAGACCGCAGACTTTAGAGACTGCCCATTTACAGGTTTTTGACAACCTGCAGCAAGACTTTCCTGAGAGCTGCCTTGATATCCTTGTTCTTCAGGCTGTAGATGAGTGGGTTTAAGGTGAGGCTCACAGTGGAGTAAAGCACAGCTACCACCTTGCCTGCCCCTGGGGCGTAGCTGGAGCCAGGGCTCAGGTAGGTGTAGATGATGGTACAGTAGTACAAGGTGACTGCAATGAGATGGGAGGAACAGGTGGAGAAGGCTCGCTGCTTCCCCTCGGCTGTTCGAATCTTTAGGATGGTGGAGATGATGAACCCATAGGACACCATGGTGAGCAGGAAGTTCAACATGGCAAAGAAGATGTCAGCTATAATTGCCATGATGTTATTCACATACGTGGAGGAGCAGGAGAGCAACAGCAGAGGGGGGATCTCACAGAAGAAGTGATCAATTACATTGGGCCCACAGTTCAGCCGTAACATCAGGCAGGCATTGATCCCAGCGCCCAGCACGCTGATGCCCCACACAGCTCCGGCCAGCACTGCGCACACCCTGGGGCTCATCATGGAGCCGTAGCGCAGCGGCTGGCAGATGGCCACGTAGCAGTCGTAGGCCGTGGCAGTGAAGAGCAGCACCTCCCCCGGCACCGCCCAGGACAGGAAACACATCTGGGCCCTGCAGCCCCCGTAGGAGATGCCCCTCTCCTCTGCCACCAGGATCTCAGGCAGCTTGGGCACCACGGTGCACGCACAGACGAGATCCAGCACAGACAGGCTGACCAGGAAGAAATACACGGGGCTGTGGGGCCTGGAGCTGAGGGTGACGGCCACCACAAGGAGGGAGTTGCCGCAGAGTGCCCCGGCTAGAGGCAGAGGAAGAGAATGCAGAGGAGAATCTGGAACTTTGGCACTTCTGAGAAGCCCTGCAGCACAAATTCTGTCACCAGCGTCTGATTACTCATGGCCTTTGGGCTGTTCAGACCTTTTCTTGCTGTACAGCTGAGCTGGGGAAGTTTGTGAAATTAGTGGCCTACATAAGAAGGTCAAGATAACTTCATATGTCAGACTCTCCCAGAACTTAAAACACTCCATGTTTCATTAGACTCAGGCATCACCAGCTAGCAAGCTCCTCTCAAGGAAACAGGCAGGAACCCTTACCCTTGCTCCATCCTCCTGCCCCTGCGCTCAGGACTACCTCCCTCCCCCACACCCCTGCGCTCAGGACTACCTCCCACACCCCCGCGCTCAGGACTACCTCTCACCGACACACCCCTGCACTCAGGACTACCTCCCTCCCCCACACCCCTGCGCTCAGGACTACCTCCCACACCCCCACACTCAGGACTACCTCTCACCGACACGCCCCTGCGCTCAGGACTACCTCCCTCCCCCACACCCCTGCGCTCAGGACTACCTCCCACACCCCCGCGCTCAGGACTACCTCTCACCGACACGCCCCTGCACTCAAGACTACCTCCCTCCCCCACACCCCTGCGCTCAGGACTACCTCCCACACCCCCGCGCTCAGGACTACCTCTCACCGACACGCCCCTGCACTCAAGACTACCTCCCTCCCCCACACCCCTGCGCTCAGGACTACCTCCCACACCCCCACACTCAGGACTACCTCTCACCCCCACACCCCTGCGCTCAGGGCTACCTCCCACGCCCCTGCACTCAGGACTACCTCCCACCCACACGCCCCTGAACTCAGTACTACCTCCCACACCCCTCACTCAGGACTACCTCCCACACCCCTGAATTCAGGACTACCTCCCCCACACACCCCTGCGTGGCACAGTGGCCTCCCACAGTGATTGCCTGACCTCACCCTGTCCCTGCTAGAGCCCTTCAGGAGCAGGATGTCCAGAAGTCTCCCCATGTCCCGTCCTGGCCAGGGAGTGTCCAGCTTCACCCCTGGTCTTCTCTCCCCTCTCTCCCAAAGTGTCCCATCCTTCTCCCTCCGCCTGGTCTCCCAACCTCTGCACATCCCTTGATGAGCTGCCCCAGATGGGAGCTTCCTCCTAAGTGAACATCAGACCCTGACAGGGAGCCTGGGCTCTGCTTAGGGGAGCAGGAGCCCAGGCTTAGGGAAGGGCAGTCTGCACTCAGGTGGGAGAGCTAAGTCAGCAACAGGGACAGACACAGGTCAAGGCTGGCAGGTAGAGTCAGGGCCAGAAGGGCAGGGCCAGGCCTGGAAGCAGGCAGGAGGTCACAGGCGGAGGACACAGGGCAGCCACAAAAAGAAGGAGTAGAGCAAGGGGTTTCCCAGAGCACAGCGCTGCTGATTCTACCGCAGTGGCTGCCCAGTCCTGGGAATGATGTACCTGGGCCAGGTCAGGGCAGCATCAACTGATTCTGTAGGGGTGACCTTGTCCGTAGTCCTTATTCATGCTGATTCTGTGCTGGCACTTCAGAACTTAGCACAATTGCAGATGTATTTCATATTCCTGAATCATATTTGTTGTACAAAAACAGACACAAGAAATATTTCAAGGATCAGCCTATAAATGACAAGTGCATAAATGTCAGGCCATTGAGAAGGCCAGACACTTCAGAAAGACACCATTATTCAAGCAGAAGGAGTTATATAGAGTCTTCTTAACTGGACCCAGTGTCAGAACCATACCCACCATAAGCATACTCCACACACCTACAGACACATGGGTCCTTTTCAGGCAACCAGAAAATTACTTCTGAGAAAGCCTGTTGCAGAACAGATGACAGTATTACCTACTACTCAGTGGGAGAGTCTTTTTCTTCCATCCCAAGCCCAGATCTGCCTAAAGGGAAGCACACTATGAACCAGACACAGCCCAAACGTGCATGGCCTGCCATTAAGTTGGTCAGTAAAGCACTTTTTTAGAGTTTCCTATGACAAATGAGTGACAGGTTGTATTGTCACCGTTATAATTATGACTTTGTCCAGCAAAGGTTACAAACCTTCCCCAAGTTCACAGGGGCAAGTCTTAAGAAAAATATTTCTGCTTGAAATATCAGGTGTGAATGGGTCCCAGCATCTTCATTTTTACAACCCAAGAGACTTTCATGTTGGCAAGACCAGCAAGCATGGGGGAAGGCACTCCATCTTCTGAAATAGTTTGTGCAGTAGCAGACTATTGCCCCTGGTCTGTGCAGTACTGTGGTATTAATAGGGACATTCTTGGAAGCATTATTAAGTACATCATTCTGGCAATTGGACCTGAAGTCAGACCCTTTCAGCCTCTTCCCATTCCAGAAAAGAGAATATTGCACAGAATGAGCTATTTCTGATCTGCTGCCCGTGGCTTGGGCTGTGCTATGAGCATGTGGGGCCCAAGAAGGACAGAGAGGCCAGAGTCTGACGGTCCGAGGAGAGCAGTGGGAACACAGGAGCAGCCTAGGGAAAACCCTCCACTCCTGCAAAGATGCGGAGAACTCCCACCCTGCTCTCCTTTCAGACCACGGGAAGGACTAAGCCTGGACACTGTGTGGCCATTAGTTAGCTTATGAAATTGTAATTTATTATAACAACATATTCTCTCAAAAAGCAGAAGTCAGTTGTTTTCAAACATGCTGAAGAGGAGCCTCCCTAATGTCCAGGACAGACTTGCACACAGCCCCAGGGCACAACCAAGGTACATGGACCCAAATAGACAGAAAGGGCAGAACTTAAGGGCACTGGGCTCTGGGAGGTAGCAGGCCACCACAGACATGACCACACTCAAATCCAAGACCTGCCAGAAGGTGCATCAGGCAGAGAGAAATGCGAGCAACCTTGGACATATCTCACTTCCCTGGGGTCCGGAGAGGTGACGCGTGTAGCAGCATCCACCGCAGAGGAGAGCCCTGCTGCCCTCTACCTTCCTGGGACGTGTTTGGAGGCGTCTGCTGGCATCCCAGAGGGCACGGGGCACAGCTCTGTCCTTGCACCTGCTCTGAGCTTTAAAACTCAGGGACGTGGACCTCAGCCACAGAGTTCCACCCCAGCCCCTGCCCTGCCCTGCTCTCTCTGTGAAAACTGAAAATGATTAAAACTCCTTAACATTCAAAATTGCTCCATAATTTATGATCTAGCAAATAAAAATTTCATGATCTGAGTCATTTTATTCCACTAATTTTGTAAAATGAATCTCTAACTATAGCAAGAGATTCATGATCAGAAATACACAGTACCACTTTAAAATTGTTTGGCAGATTCAAGCTTCTTCCCAAGTCCTGGAAACATTGCAGATGGTCCTTAAGTTGCCTCGGGCTCGATTCAGAAGAAACAAACAACATCCCCTTTGTGCAGGCACTGTCCGGTCCTCCTGTGGTCAGGATGGGGGCCAGCAGACAGAGCCGAGGGTGGCCTGGTTCTAAATAGAGGCAGCTCTGCTGTGTGACGTAGCAAGTGAGGGTGTAAACCCACTGGGATCCAGCTCCAGATTCTGCCACTTAGCGGAACTCAGAAGCCCTAGGGGCTTCGGAACCTGAGGGCAGTGGCCTCAGCACAGAGCTGGTAGCACCACGGACAGAGACGAGAAGTGTTGACGGCAGCTGTCACTCCTCAAAATTCAGCAGACAAGAAACTTAACCTCTGTATGGGGCTGTGGTGGGGGGTGTCTGCCAGACAAAAATGCCAAGTGCACACTCCGAGTACTGGTTCCTCATGGAAACACAGTGCTGAAAGTTTCCTTGGAGGTGATGGTGTTGACCCTCATATACAGAGGAGAAATCAGGTGCAGCAAAGGAGGGGGCCTTGCCCCATGTCACAGGCCTGTGGCCCGCAGAGCAGAGCTGGATGCAGCATCCGCACGGCCTCCAGGCCGGGGGGGCTGTGCCAGCAGCAGAACAGGGGCTTGCTGCAGTTCTGGGCCTCTCTCTCTGCCCTTCCCCGCTCGTGCTCTGTCTCTCTTTCTCAAAAATAAATAAAAATTTAAAAATTAAAACAAAAACAAAACAAAAAAATTAGCAAATGAAAGTTGTATTTATTCAAGGTATATGACTTACCATCCCCCCCCCAGCATTTCTACATTTCCTTATTGTGGTAAAATACCCATAAAATAAAGTTTACTATTTTAATCATTTTGCATTTTTTTTAAAAAGCAGGCTTCTTCCCCTGCACAGATCCCGGTGTAGGGCTTGAACTCAAGACCCTGAGATCAAGACGTGAGCTGAGATCAAGAGTCAGATGCTTAACCAACTGAGCCACCCACATGCCCCTATTTTAACCATCTTATTTTATTAAAAAAATTTTAAAGATACTTAAATTTTTTAACGTTTATTTATTTTTGACAGACAGAGAGAGACAGCGTGAGTGGGGGAGGGGCAGAGAGAGAGGGAGACAGAATCTGAAGCAGCTCCAGGCTTTGAGCTGTCAGCACAGAACATGATGCGGGGCTGGAACTCACTGACCACAAGATCATGACCTGAGCTGAAATCAGACGCTTAACTGTCTGAGCCACCCAGGCGCCCCCCTCAAAAAATTTTTTTAATGTTTATTTATTTTTGAGAGAGACAGAGCGCAAGCTGGGGAGAGTCAGAGAGAGAGGGAGACAAAGAACCCAAAACAGACTCCAGGGTCTGAGTTGGCTGTCAGCACAGAGTCTGACTCAGGGCTCGAACCCACAAACCGCGAGATCATGACCTGAGCCTAAGTAGGATGCACAACCAACTGAGCCACCCAAGCGCCCCTTAACCTTTTTTTTTTTTTTTTTTTTTGCCCCTTAACCATTTTTAAGTGAACAATTCAGTGGCATTGAGGACATCCTTAGTGTCATGTGACTGTTACCACTATCTAGGTCCAGAATTTTCTTGTTGTCCAAATGGAGATGCTGGAGTGGTCACTCCACATCCCGCCCCCGGTCCCGGCAGCTGCCAGTCTGTGGCCCTGCACATAGTGTTGCCTGCCCTCACTGTAGCCCGAGCTACAGCAACAATGAGACATGCCCTGAAGACCACTGTCTGGGCCACGGCTAAGCTATGGCGTCTCTCACCAGGGCAG